TTTTGGTGTCCCCGGGAGCTCACACAGGTCTGACACTGGTCACTGAGACTGGAAGGCTAGATGGATGGATGGATGGATGGATGGATGGATGAGATAGAGAGGGACAAAAGGAAAAACATTTGGCACAGTGGTCTATTCCCCTTGGAAACGACACTCTTGTTTCTGCAGAGTTGCAGACACTCCCAGGATCTGTGGGTATGTCTCGTGGGCACACCAGACCTCACCGCTCCAGGATTCCTAACACGTTGAACAAACCTCAATGACTAACAACCACAGGCCGGAGACCATGGCTGTCCGAGTACAACCACTTCCCGGTTTCCCTGGTACCCGACCTATCCTCCGCACATAAACAGTTCTCAGGGGCACCGTGGTAAAGAGTCAATAGGTAAAGAGTTCAGCTAAGAGGCCACAAAGTCCTTCCCTCCACCACACAGGCCCCTTGTGATCTATCAAGTCATTGATGAGGATTCAAACAAAAGTCTGACTGGAATGGAAAGAAGCTTACAGTTTCTCTGGTGGAGATAAACAAAGACGCGAATACACAGTGTGTCAGGGTGAGAAGTTGGGGGTGGGAAATAAAGTAGCAAAGGAAATTAGGGGGTATCGGAGGAGAGGATTGTCATTTTACATAGGGTGTCCAGATGAGGGTGAGGGGGCAAAGCGCAGTGTCCCGGGACAGGAGCACAGCGGGAGCAGAGGGCTTCATCAAACTTGTGAGACGGAAGAGCCGCCAAGGGTCAGCAAACTGCGGCTCGCGAGCCACACGCGGCTCTTTGGGTACGTACATGTGGCTCTGAAGTAAAACTGAAAATGAAAATAAAATCATCATAGTTTCATTTATAATGTTACTTTGAATTTCCCTTATTTGTAAAAATATATGTATGGCTCTCGAATCATTTGTAAATTGTTGTGAGGGACAGGATTGGCTCTTCCAGGGGTCGGCAAACTTTTGAGACTGAACGTACCCAAAGAGCCACATGTGGCTCGTGAGCCGCAGTTTGCCGACTCTTGATCTAGAGGCATGCGCTGCGCAGAAGCTGAGCTGCAAACGGAGGAGCCACCGGCAGATGATCCCACAGGTCTTCTCAACAATGAATGCGCCCTCTACTCCCGGCTTCCTACCAGATCAATGCTGTACTGGAGTGAGTACCTGCAGCTCTCAAAGCATCCTCCTTTTCACCTACACACAGGTAGTCCTTCCAATCCCCCCACCTTCATCCTACTGGAAGCCTTCCCTGGCTTCTGCCACCCTCCACCCCGGGGTAGCCAGCACGATTCTCAGCCTCCAGAATAACCCACGCTCCCCCTTGCCTCTCCCCTGCACAATGAAGAAGGCTGCTGTCACCATCTACCTGCTTCTCCAGACTGAACTCCCCAAGGACTGTGACCACGCCTTACTAATCTCTGGATTCCCACCCCTAGCATGGTGCTTGGTGCATCACAGCCACATGCTAAATATGGGCTGGACGCTGAATATTAAATGCACAGGGATGTTTCCGGAGGGCAGACTCCAGGTCTGCATTAGCTCAGTAGCCCCCGAAGGTGACAGAATGCCTGGCACAACAGAGAAGACAGCAGGTATGCTACATGAATTGGTGCCTGCCCTGCTGTTGGCATTTTATCTGGACGTCCTCAGTCCCTGACTACGGAAGTGCAGGGCCAATCCAGATGTGGTGCTCCTGGGCTTAGGCCAGGGCTCATGGGTAGGAAGCACCATTTATGTTTATATATGCTGTGGGGTTTTTCTCATTAGAATATGCATTAACAAGCCCTAACCTCATCCTTAAGGTTCCGTGCCCAGGGATAATTTGGTGTTTGGGGAATGGTTTTTCCAAGCTAACTATTTTACAAATCAAAACCTAATACGGAGTGCCCTGCAAAGCCATGGGAGGCTCAGCATAGCAGCTGGTGCTGAAAGGCCTGTAGTTAGGGGTGGCTGGTGCTTCTGGGCATTCGCTCTCTTTGAACTCCATGGTAATGTGGGCCTACGTTTGTCCCTGATGGCTTCCCATCAGCAGTTAGGGTAGTTCAAACTTCTTTCAAATAGAACCACAGACATTGAGAGATAAATAGGCACCATCTAATTCCACTCTTTCATATGACAGATGGGGAAAGTGGGGTCTAGAGAAAAGTGGCAATAACTCTGTAAGATAGACATGATTGTCTCCACTTTACAGATGTGTACACTGAGGCTTGAAAGCTAAGTAACCCAATCACTGTTCCATAGCTAGTCACTGGCCAGAATTGTCCAGGTCTGTCTGACTCTAAAGGAAAAAGCTGTTAATGCAACACCCAACCAGTTCAAATGTGATTCTCCCCCAAGACTCCAGGGAAGCTGGGATCACAGGCTGTGTTAACAAAAGCACCCAACTCCAGCACTTCCTGAAGCCCAGCATGAAAGCGTCGGGGGAGGGCCTAAGGGCTTCTCTGATTGGGTGCAGGGTCCACTAATCCTGACAGGCAGCAAACTTACAATAGAAAACATTGCAAAACAGACATTCAAGGGACTGCGATTTCTGTGTAATATTACATAAAAACAGCCCTGACAAAGAGCACTGTCCTTACTTTTTGGCTCTTAGCTCCAGAGGTTGTTTTAGAGGCGCGATAACCTTAGAGTTAGAGCCCTGTGTTTATATGTTATATGTTGTGGGTGTCCGCGAGCTGTGACTGTTGAATGTGTGTATGTTTGCGAGGGCTCCTAAAAGCGTAGGGTGTGTGCATGAGTGAGTGTGTATCATAATGTGCTCGAAAGGTGAAGGATTAAGAGGGCTCTTCTTTCTCCCTGTCTCTTCCTTTCTCCCTCTTTCCTTTCCTTCTTTCCAGGAATATAAAGGCACTGCTATTTTTTCCTCCCTCAGAGAGATGCAAATAAACATTCAATCAAAATATGCTCCTCACCCATGACCCCCACAGAGGCTCTTGCTGTAATCATAGCTGGTAAGGAGGTAATTGAGGTGGGGTGGGGGGGTCAGGGGGTACAGTGAAGGGACCATCTCACCCATTAAAGCAATTTTACAAATGTAATCCCAGTGTTTTGTAAAGGTGCTTAAAGGAGTGCTTATGTGCTGTGTTCCTTCATTTTGTTCCAAGAGAAAAAACAACGGATAACTTTGAAAACAACACTGTACTGTGTGCTCCACAGCTGCCCCAAAGGTAAAGGTGCTGACAGGTTTCTGGTACCTTCTGTGTGCCAGGCACTATGTGGAGCTCACTTTCAGGTAAAATTGAAATCAAAGGCTCATGTTCTTTAATTTGTTCTGCAGGTTCATTTTGTTTTGTTTTTGTAGTGCAGCACAATGAAAAGAACATAAAATGATGCTGGAGTTACAAAGGTCAGCCTTCAAATACCCTTTCTGCCTCTTACTGGAGGTAGACCTTTTACCGCAGAACTTCTCAGATTTAGATTGGTTGGTCTACTTTAAACTGAAAGCAAGGTAATCACAGTGTATCTCATTGGGTTACTGAGAGAATCGAATATTATAGTGTGAGCTCCATACGGTGCCTGGCACACAGAAGGTACCAGAAACCTGTCAGCACCTTTACCTTTGGGGCAGCTGTGGAGCACACAGTGCAGGGTTGCTTTCAAAATTATCCAGTGTTTTTCTCTTGGAAGAAAATGAAGGAATACAGCACATATGCACTCCCTTAAGCACCTTTACAAAACACTGGGATTACATTTGTAAAATTGCTTCCAGCCCTGGGTAAAATATAAAAATGGAACAGGAAACTCAACTAAATATCTTTGCTAAATTATCCTTCCTAAGAGCAAAGCAAAAACAAAAACATCAAGAATGAAGAGAAGTGCTATTCACGAATAAATAAAATCTACATTTAATGTTTTTATAGATTGGGGTCCATCTTTCAGCTCTGCATCCTAGGTAACAGGAAGCCCAGAGGTCTCCAAACTTGTTCAGGATTGGGGGGGGTGGGAAACAAGACAAAAAAACCTAAAGTTTTTTCCAATCCCTAATCATGTTTTTTATATAAGTCAAAATCAAAACGTTCTTTTTCCAAATAGCTTGTGCTCCTCTGAGCTATGTCCGACCTCTCAGCGCCTTCTCTCTCTGTCCTCCCATCAAAGCGGCCGAAAGCAGGAAGTGCCTTGGCACACCAACCTCATTCAAGGGGAGAGGGAAAGCAAGAGGAAAATATTTAACTGACAAAGAGAAACAGATCAGCCACTATCTGCGCAGCAGCTGGCAGGGAGCAGGACATCACCTGCACTGTTCCAGCATCTCCAGGAAGTCAGAGCAGACACGGCCAAGGGAAGAGCAATATGGGGATTCGGATCGTGGCTCCACCACTAGTTGAAGGACCTCCAATGTGCTGCTTAGACTTTCTCTGGGTGTGGTCTCTGGATCCCAGCAATGGGGTAAGGATTTTGATACTTCCCTGTTATTACAAGGTCATGTGTGCTCACGGATGCAGTATTTTGTAAAACATAAAATCACTCTATGTAGTCAGATGACAATGAGTTTTCAAGTCCTTTCATCAGAGGACTAGCATGGCGAACATGGCAAAAAACTTGGCCAGAAGTCTTAAGTTTGAGCAACAGTTCTGGTATCTATGTAAATTCTGGAAGTTCGCTTGAATTCTCTGAGCCTTACTTAGTAATCCTTTCCCACAATATAAATAATATTACTTATGACATAAGGTTCCTGTAAGGATAAATTGAGTTAATGGATTTTCAGAATACAGCCCTTGCTCCCATAAAATGTTCTACAAGTGTCTTTTTCGCTTTATAATTTCAAAATGGGTACACAATGCTTATCAAGCAGCTATGGTAAATATTACTTTTATTTGAAAAATGAGAAAATCCTGGAAAGTAAAACAACTTCTGCTAAAGCAATGGCAGAACTCAGAATAGAACTGAATTTTCTAGTGAAGACTTTTTCAAGGATTTCATAATACATCTATCCCAAACCACTCTGGGGGCTTTGGGTACAGAAGGGATTTAAGTTGGGGCAGGACTCCATTGGAATCAGAGGGCAGGTACTTACCACCAAATACAGCATAGTATACATGGAGAAGGAGGCGTGGCCAGAGAAGAAGGACTTCCTGCAAGAGTAAGAGAGGGCCATGAAAGGGACATATTCACATCCCTGATATACAATTGTCTGCCTGCCTTTCCTCCCTAGACTGACCTGGAAAGTAGCACCATCTTATTTTTACATTCCTGGTGGTGCTTTGGACACATTGCCTGGAACCTAGCAGGCACCCAAGAATGCATGAATAAACAAATGAATGAATGAATGAATGGATGTACCAATGCTATATCATAATTGTTTATGTACATATCTGTCTCAATCATGTGACTTCCTCGAGAATAAGGACTATGCCATAGTTGCCCATCTAATCCAGAGCCCAGTGCTGGGGCTGGCACATAGCAGGTGCTTGGTAAGTGCTCATTGAACTGTCTGCCTCAAAGGGGTGCACAGCGGCCATGGGAAGTGGTGTCTCACCTGGCTTCCTGGACTTTGCTGTCGTCGCCTCTGCATTTGTAGTTCTGAACATAGCCCTCGGAGCAGTTGATCAGGCTGAAATCAGGGTTGCAGACATTCAAGAAATGAGGACGCAGGCGTCCGATGGAGACTTTAGCAATGTCTGTGAAGGACTGGCTGATCGCACAGCCAAAGAGGAAGCAACCCACTTGCTTATAGAGGGCTGCCACGTAGGGATTCTGAATCGTTGACCGGGACTTCTCCTTCAGGTAATAGATCCGGTAGAATTCCCCCGTGATGATCTGAAAGGAAACCAATCAGGGAATTAGGCAGTTTCAAAGACCCATCATCAAAACTAATGCTGTAAAGGATATTTAATGACAAAAGAGAATGTTCAGTATACAACTTCAGGTTATAACCTAGAAAATCCCAATTTTCTATTTAATAAGTACACAGACACAAATATGTTTGGGAGGAAAGATCAAAGCGCTACCTTGGCCATTAGCTCCTTTTTTCAAAAAAGTCCCACCTAGCCATAGAATACCTTGGTAACAAGAAACACATAAAACAAAATATATATGTAAATATAAGTATTTTTTAATATAAGAAAGAAATAATAATGTAGCTATAGAAAAAAAAATTACAAGAAAAATCAAGACAGGGTTAAGGGTGGCCAGGATATCAGAGGATCTGTGGATTCTGGAGTTTGGGCCAAAGGATCACTGACAATCTAACTCCACAAGGGGCCTCAGCGTTGTATCAACATTGAGCCACAGTGAGGGTTTCTATAGGAAAGGGTAAGTATCCCAAGATCAAGTCCTGGGTCTGAATCCAGGCTCTGCCACCTATCGGGTGTCCTTCAGCAATAGCTTCAGCTCTCCAGGCTTCAGTTTCCTCTGTGAAGGAGGCCGCGCACCTTTGCAGAGTTGTTGGCTTAAATCTGATACCAGGGATGGGAAATGTGCTTGGTCATAGAGAGTGATGGCTTCATCTTCCTTTTCAGTAGTACGGTTAATGAAAAGAACACTGGTCTACAAACCAAGAACTGCTGGTACAGTGCCCTTCAGAGTTTGTGACTTTCCTCAAGTCTGCCTGCACTGTCCCTTCAATCCTGAAGGGTGGCGAGTGAGTCTTGATTTTCATACCCTTCCTCCATCCCACTGTGTCTAGGGGACATTTATCACTACTACAAAAAAAATAACAATAAAAGACAGCCATCAATTATTGAATACCTACTGCATACCAGGCATTGCTTTTGTATACTTCCTCTGTGAAATTCTCACAAAAACCATGATAGATACGGTTGCGGCTCAGAGCAGGGGAGCACTTCACCTCCAACTGCCTGGTTTTACATGAAGAATGGGAGGCCACTGATGTCCTGGAAGATAAATGCCTACGATGCCTATGCAGCAGACGATCAGCTCTGCGTTGGCGATGCACAACCACACACAGCCTGCCGCCCTTGTTAACTGCGCAGCACAGCCCTGGCCACTTCCGGATTGCAACCACAGTCCAGTGACGCTGATGTTCAACTCATCCCTCACCACAAAGTCCCTTTCACACTTCCTCACAGGGCGGGGTGATGAGCCACACTTGCCCTTTCATGGAGCAAGTTCACAACCAACCACAAGGGAAGCAATCGACTTCCATACCCGGGCGCTCCTCTTCTCAGTCTCCTGCTTTTCTTCACAGCGGGGGAAAGGCACCAAGGCACGCGGTCTGATCTGAGTCCTCAGGGGCTCCCAAGTCTGGGGATTAGGATGGCCATGGAGGAGGGACATGCCAGCTGGGCCCAGAGGCCAGCAGGCGCAGTGGTGAGAACAGCCACTTCGGCTAACATTTATACAGTGATTCTGCATTTAGAAATGCTTGCTATTTCCAAGTGCTACACTTTGGTTTCCCAGATCATAGTGAGGATGATTCTGTAGTAGAGGGGGAAACAGTCAATAGTCCTGACTTAGTTATTCCCTGGTTGAGCTGGACTAATATCTGATCCCACGGAGGTGCTCAGGGACTACGAGTTGAATGAACGAATGGATGAAAGGGAGCAGGGCAGTAGTTCTCACAGTTGCCTCATTGCAAAATTAGAAATATCCTCTAAACCTTACGAAGAGACCTTTGATAACACGTTGCAAAGATTAAAATCTGAGAAGCACAGCGAGTCAGAAATAAAAGCGTCCATTATATACAGGACAAACAGGGGTCCACATTAACTCACATCTAAAGATTAGACCCAGGTGTTCCAACTCCCCACCCAGCATTCTTTCCTACCATTCATTCTAATTCCCTTTTGAACCTGTTTACACTTTTACCCTATGTAACCTTCCAGGCTAACAAGTTCCAGATGTTTATTACCGCCATCATGTTCTCTTTCTTGTTTTTTATTTATAAGTCATGCTCACATGACTTTAGATGCAGGGGGGAAAAAAACCACTCAACTAGGAGTCAAGGGGCCAGGGTTTGAGTCCCTACTCATTGAGTGAATATGGGATGAGTTAGGGTCTCCATTTGCAAAACAAGGGCGCTCGACTCCGTGATTGACAGCCTCATCATTGCAATGGCATTTATTCTGAACTCTCCTGTGCTACACCTGCACCACTAGCCTCCCAACCCAGCAAAGGTAATGAGCAGTGGCAGAGGAAGGGTACTTCCCCGGAGATGACACCACAGGCAAGGAGAGGAACTGGGGCTCCGTGTACAATCCCCGCCCTTGGACTGCTCTTGAGTTTCTTTTCTCAAACCATACCACTGCCACAGATTAAGAACTTTTCTAAATTGGCTCGGCTTGAGCATGATTTCCGGTTTAATGCTGAGAAAGAATACGTGGGTTTCTACTACAAATTAGTATCTCTTGTATGAATCTCCTGATTAATCTCAAGTGAGTCACCTCTCCGCTTCAGTCAGCTTAAAGAGAAAGGGTTTGATGCCAATTCAAGGATTCCTTTCAGCTCTAACATATCCCTTCATCCTAAAACTTTGGTTTTCCATGCCACAGTCTTTCTTGCAAACAGTAAACTGCTAAAATGCTTCCTTGTCTCTCATGGGAAGATTGAGAGGTAAAAAAGAACATTTTAGGGCACCTCAAATCCTAAGAACAACGTTAATCATAGCAGCAATCGTTCACATTTCTTTTGCACTTTATAGTTTCATGTACTCTGCAACTGTGGAGAGGAAATACCCATTCTACAGATGGCGATATCAAGGCTCTGAGAGACAGTGACTTACCTGAAGGAGGTGAGGCTAGTGACAGAGTAGAGCCCAGCTATTCTGACTCTCAAGTTCAAAGACCCAGACCCATGGCAGACTACAGTGAGAGAATCTTATTACGTCTATTGTTATTAAAAACAGTTTCCACTGTAGTGGAGCAATTGTATATTTTCAAGGACTAAGCCAGGCTGAAGTCATTTAGCAGATGGTTGACTCCAGGACCACATGGCTCCTGGGCCAGCCCTGACAGATCTTGGAGTTAATGAGCAACAAATTATGTATTTTCTCTATCCCCTCGTACAGAAGGGTCGGGGAGTCGAGAACACAGCCATAAATCATCATTATGAACCAGCCGGACTTGGCTTCTTGTAATCCTAACCTTTAAAAGACCATTTAATGAAATTCGGGCTGTGAATGACGGCCCGCATACCTCACCTCTGCAGAAGAGGCGAAGGCTGAAATTGTTCTCTGACACATTACACGCCTAACTCCGGAGTCCCAGATTTACTGCTTTCGGACTTTATTCATTACTCACAATGTTTTTATTCCTGGGTAATAAAATAAGCTCTTCCCTCTACCTCCCTCTTTCCCTACAAAGGCTCTGTCCCCACCCCCCAGACTCCTGCCCCTAGAGCCCTCATTTCTGCTTCAGTCAGCAAGATGGTGATATGTAAATTTCACTGCTGAGAAAAAAACGCCTTCAATGTCAATCCCTTTCTGAAAACAGCAAGCAACAGATTGGGGGGGAGGGGGCGTGAGGGGGAGGGGCATGGCAGGCTGCCAGGCGAGCAGAGAACTCTAACCTACCTGCCTTTTAAAGCACTTGGCACAGAATCTGGAAACTAATAAACTGGGAAAGCATTGCAATTAAGCTACGAGGGGACAGAAAGGGATCAGTCCTTGCCTGAGAACGGCTGCAGTTTGGGGGGAGGTTGTCTCAAACTCTAAGACAGCCATCCTTCCCTGTCTTTTCTGGTGAAAAAGAGCTCAGCTGCCCACATATTCACAAATATCGAACTGTTCTGGAGAGGAAATTTGGAGAAATATTGGGCTAGCCTTTTTTGGAAAGGAGAGCTTAGAGTGGTAAAAGAAGTGCTGACTTCGGAGCCAGAAAACCTTTGGTTTGAATCCCATCTTTTACCTTAGGTAAGTGACTTCTTCACCTCTCTGGATTTAGGTCTCCTCATCTATAAAAAAAGACTGATAATATCTATCTGGCAGGATTGCCAGGAGATTCAAGAGGGTGATATGTCAGATGCCCAGGACCTAGCAGAGGAGCCCTCCAAAAGTTAAATTTTCTTCTTCCATTGGAGAAGGGGAAACAAAAAGTTAAAAAATACTTGTAGAAAATATCTTTCCAAGATACCCCCAAGAGCTCCTTGGAAGGGAACATTCCAAGTTCAAATTTGGAAGTACTACCTACCCCTCCAGGGTAGAACTAGAAAACGTGTGTATGGATGACATTGGCTTTGACCTTTTAATCTAGTATGTCTTGATTTTCAGGGGAACAAAGTGGAAGGGAAATCTAAACCCAAGGCAGAAAGGGCAATTCTACTACATTGTTTGTGTTATTTTTGAGCATTCCACTCTATTTTTAAATTATCTGAAGAAAAGTAAGATTTTTGCACACAGAATCTCAATAATCTCTCCTTTTAGAGACTGGGAATCATCTTCTTCCCCTGCTGAGTTTGAAGGACCAACTTCCATATACTCTGATCTGCTTGAATAATAATAATATTTGCATAGCACTTTTCAGCTTACAAAGCATTTTCACATCTACTGTGCTTTGTGCTTCTCACCCACAGGCTATATATGAATTACTAAATTATTATCGACACTTTATTAATGAATATGGTGAAGGCCAGAGAGGTCAGTGAAATCACCCTCGGTCAGAAATAAGGCAGTGGCAGGGCTGTCACTGTAGCCTTGACTTCTTCATTCTGGTTCTTGTGCTCTGTCCGATGGTATCGAGCTGGCTTTCTCTTAGAAGTCCTAACAGGCAGCAGGGTGTATGTCTCCAGTGAGATGGGCATTCGCAGGGCACCTGGTAAGGTCACGTTATCTTGTCAGTCACTTGCCCATCTAAGTCCCTTCC